AAAAGTCTGCCAAAGTCTTCAGAGTTTAGAAGAAAATATGGATGCTCTGTTTCTAGGTCCTAGTGACCTTCAGACCATATCAGCAGAGTCTGTTTGTAAACCTTTCTAAGTCATTTCCTTACAGCACCATGAAACAATGGGCTGGCTTTGCAGAGGGTCTTAGGAAATGCTCCATGGTCCTCTATTTACCTTAGACAAGCTCAGTGGAGATTTCTTGTATAGCACATTAGTTGACATCTCCATTTCTTAGGAGAAACTACTATTAAAGATGCTTGTCAGATGTCTGATCTAAAGAAATGCATTGTTGAAACAAAAAAACAATACAATTAAAAAATGGACAGAGGATCTGAACAGACACTTCTCCCAAGAAGACATACAAATGGCCAATCAATACATGAATAAATGCTCAAATTCATTAGCTATTAGGGTAATGCAAATCAAAACCAAAATGAAATACCACCTCGCACCTGTTAGAATAACAGACAAATACTAACAATCTGTTGGAGAAGCTGTGGAGAAAAAGGAACCCGCATACACTGCTGGTGGGAATGTAAATTGGTATAGCCACTATGGAAAACAGTATGGAGGTTCATCATAAAATTAATAATAGAATTACCATATGAACCAGCAATCTCTCTCCTGAAAATACTTATCTGTAAAGATATATGTACCCTTATGTTCATTGCAGCTTTATTTACAGTGGCCAAGACATGGAAACAGCCAAAGTGTCCTTTGATAGATGTTTGGATAAACAAGTGGTATATATACACAATGGAATGCTACTCAGCCACGAGAAAAGATGAAATACTGACACATGCAACAACATGGATGGACCTTGAGATTATTATTCTAAGTGAAATAAGTCAGACAGAAAAAGTGAAGAAACATGACTTCACTCATATGCGGGATATAAAACTGAAAGCAGCAAAGGAACAAGACAAACAAATGAAGAAACAAAAACTCATAGACACAGACAACAGTTTAGTGGTTACCAGAGGGTAAGGGGGGAGGGGAGTGGTAGAAGAGGGAAAAGGGATCAAATATATGGTGATGTATTATAGAAATGTACACTGGAAACTTATATAATTTAGCTAATCAATGTCACCTTAATAAATTAAAAAAAAAATCTTATCGAGGACTTTTTCTCCAATACATTGTTTGATGTAGCTTCACTTAGCCAAAAGAGGTAGAAAGTAGTATCTCTGTGAAACACGGAGAAAATCATAATAGATATTGAGTGAAATCAGGAGTGTGTTGTCATATTACTCTGCCCATTTACCAGGCAAGAGTGCTGTCTCATGATCTAGATCTAGCAATGTTTTATGACTTTCCAACTCTAAAGTGAGATTTCTGTAGCCAAAGATATGAACTTTTTCAATCTTTGTCATACACAAGGCCAAATCCATT